TTCCCATTGCACAAGAACGAATTGCACAAATCTCACCTCCTCTTTCAAAATACAATGAGCAACCCACCAAACCTCCAAACACCAAGGTTCACACAATTCCTCAAATTTCAAGTTTAGAATTTAGAAATTGAAACAATGTTAAGGTTTAATTGGACTTGAAATTGAGGGAAAAGAGGTTAGACGAGGGGTTTTTAAATTTCTGAATTTTGGATTGAAAATGGGGCAAATGGGTTGTTTTGGATAAAGAATACTTTCTAAGGGATAGAGGGAAGTGATTAATTGGGTTTTGGATAAAGACTAGAATGAATTGGATTGTAGGATTGAAGAAAAAGGGTTTAAAAGGGCAAAATTCAGGTATGCAGGGAATGCCGCTGGTAGCGGCTTGGGGCCCGCTGCCAGCGGCTTAAGAAGGAATTTAGGGTGAATGTTGCTGGAAGACCCGCTGGCAGCGGCTGCTGCAAATTTATTTTATTTTATTTTATTATTTTTTTTTTCTTTTTTTTTCTGAAGGACACCCGCTGGCAGCGGCACCAGACCCGGTGCCAGCGGCTGGGGCAGAACTTTGGGATTTTTTGGCTGCTTGGAGAGCCGCTGGTAGCGGCTACAGAGCAGCTGCCAGCCCGCTACCAGCGGCTCCTGCAGGGGCTGCCTCCCAAAGCCTGTTTTTACCTGTTTTGCTCTGTTTTTGCTCACAATACGTACTCCCAAAGCATCCTCCTACATAAATCCACCAAAAGCACTTGGTACATCAAAACAAAAACAATAAAAACTAAAATAAATGAAAACGGGGAAGAGTTTTCGGGTTGCCTCCCGATTAGCGCCTTTGTTTACGTCGTTGGCTCGACACAACTCATGAAACTTCGTTAATTAATTGATGGCTCGTAGAGATCGATGTTCTCCAAATTCTCGACCTTGAACCCTTCGTAGTATGGTTTGAGCCTTTTTCCATTCACTTTGAACATGTTGTTGGTCTCTAAACTCCGAATTTCTACCGCTCCATGCGGATAGACCTTGTCAACTTGAATTGGACCCTTCCAACGGGAGCTCATCTTGTCATGCCACACCTTATTCTTTGCTTTGTGGTATACCTGGGATAATTTCTTGCCCGGAAATGATGACGGGGTGGGTGTTGCCCCTAGTGGTATAGGTGGAAGCTTGGACTGTTCATTCAATTCCGCCACCTTCACCTGCACATTAGTAGGTATAGAAGAATCCAAGCAATCACCAGACACAACATTAGTAATAGGTGTGAGGAGCTCATCCCCATGATCAATGTTAGAAACATCATACAATATTGGATCGACAACATTTATAGAATATAAAGAATGAGTATGAACAGGATACTTTATGGTATCATAAATGTTATACACAATTGCTTTCCCATCAACCTCCATAGTCAAAGAACCGGTAGACACATCGATTTTTGTCTTAGCAGTCTTTAAGAAAGGTCTTCCTAACAGGATGGGGGCTGCTTGTTTGTCATGTTCCATGTCAAGGACGTAAAAGTCAGCAGGAAAGATCAATCCATCAACCTTAACAAGTACATCTTCTACTACCCCCTTAGGATATACATTGGACCTATCAGCTAACTGAATTACTACCCCAGTTTCATGCAAAGGCCCAAGTTCTAAAGATTTAAACAGGGAGTAGGGAATGACATTGATTGATGCACCTAGGTCCAACATGGCTCGGTGTAATGTGGTGTCTCCTATTGTAACAGGAATAGTAAACATACCAGGATCACCACATTTTTCTGGGAGTTTCTTTTGGAAAACTGCAGAAACATGAGCACTCACCTTCACTTTTTCTTTTCCTCCCAACCTGTGCTTTCTCTTGATCGTACACAGTTCCTTCATAAACTTAGCAAAACGAGGAACACTTTTAATCACATTCAAGAGGGGCATATTTACCTCACATTTGCTGAAAGTCTCATAAATATCCTTGTCTTTCTCATACCTTCGAGTATCTTGCAAGGCTTCTGGGAAAGGTGGCACAGGCTCATAAGAGGTAAAGGTTGGCGGATTCGCCTTAGTTTCTTGTTCTACTTCCTCCTCCTCAACTCCAATCAAGTCTTTAGCCTTCTTAGGTGCAACTACAGTTTCTTGCAACTTTTTGCCACTTCTCAATGTTATTGCATTAACTTGTTGCTTAGGGTTCAGCTCCGTTTGGGATGGAAGCTTTCCAGAGTCCTTAGCTTCAAGTCGGCTTACTGCACTTGAGATTTGACTGACTTGATTCTCCAGGTTTTGAATACTTGATCTGGTTTCTTGTTGAAACTGCATCATATTCTGCTGCATGGTAGAAACATTAGAAGTTAGTGATCTAATCATTTCTTCAGTTGACATATTACCTGAATTAGAGCTTTGGCCTTGAGGTGTTAGGAACGGTGCCCTATATTGCTGAAACTGTTGTTGACCTTGAGCATGCTGATGTTGTTGGTTTCCTTGGGAATTCCCATATCTCAAATTTGGATGATCTCTCCATCCTGGGTTGTAGGTATTTGAAAAGGGATCATATCTTCTCTGCGGACCTTGCCCTTGAAAACCTAAGGCGTTGGCCTGCTCATTCTGCTCCTCTTGTAATTGAGGACATGCATCAGTGGGATGTCCCATGGAGGTGCATAAACCACAAGCATTCAGTTGCCGTGGATTCCTTGAGTTCACCATGAACTCACGCATCATAGAAGTCAAATAAGCTACTTGACTCTCTAACTCAGTTGTATTCGAATTTGCTAAATTCACCCGGCGCGTGGGAGTTCTCTGACTGAATTGCCTAGAATTTTCTGCTAGCTCTGCAATCAACCTAGTTGCATCTCCTGGAGTCTTATTCACTAGCCCTCCACCACTTGCTGCATTCACCATCCTCAAGTCATCATCAGTTAGACCTCCATATAAGTATAGGATGAGGTCTTGATCTGAATACCCATGGTAAGGACAACTAGCACACAATCTCTTAAATCTCTCCCAATACTCATACAAGGATTCATCTTCCTTCCGATCCACATTGCTGATAGCTTTCTTAAGGCTTGCAGAAATAGTGGCTGGGTAGTACTTCTCAAGGAAACACTTCTTTAAATCTGCCCAAGTTGTTATGCTACCTGGGGGAAGATAGTAAAACCAATCCTTTGCTGCATCTTTGAGAGAAAAAGGAAATGCTCTCAACTGAATTTGTTCATCAGTCATCCTCATCGGTTTCATGCTAGTGCAAACCACATGAAATTCTGCCAGATGTTTATTCGGATCTTCGCCTTTCATGCCATGGAATGCCGACAATAGATGAATTAGACCGGATTTGATCTCAACATTAGAACCTTCCTCCAACTGCTGGTATGCAATGCACAACGGTTGTTGGTTCAAGTTGGGAGCTGTGAGTTCCCTTAGAGTTCGATTGTCAGCCATCTCCTCTTCTTCTTGAATATTGAAGGAGTATGTTGATTCACTGGGGGTTGTTCTTGCCTCTTTTCGCAACCTGGAAATATTCCTTTCAATTTCTGGATCAAACTGCAAAACTTCTTTGTTAGCAGAACGGGTACTTATCATACCCTAGCGAACAAACAAAGAAAGATAGCTAAGAACAGTCCTAAAATAAATTCTACTAAGATAAACAATTAAAAAGTAACGCTTTAATTCCCCGGCAACGGCGCCAAAATTTGGTGTGCCTCAGTCGTATGCAACCAAAAATATCACAACTAAGCTAACTGCAAATAAACGTAGTTAGGGAAGTCAAGTTCGAATCCACAGGGAAAAAGGGACTAATAACTGGAAACCTAAGTGGAAATACTCTAGGACGGTAGTAACCTAAGTAACGAGGGGGATTTTCACGAGCAATGATGATAAATGAACTAAGTAAGAACAACGAACGTAATGAATAGGTAATCAATGAGAAGAACGGTCTTGGTTATGCGAAATCCACAATTGAACATACAAATTGATCATAGAAGCCTCTTCAATCAAACACTATTGAACACCTTGTTGTAGAATTCTAAATTCTAAATTCTCATAAGCTAGTTAGAAATAGCAAAGCGCTCCTTTCTAACCCTTTCTAATGTATAATTTAAGACAAGCGCCCTAAATCATCCACAAGAAGAACATAAACGGAGAAATCAACAAGGATTGAATAAATTAACACAAGCGGTCTAATTTCTTCAATAATATTATTCCCTCTTTAAGTTATCAATCAAAAGCATGCATTCATAACCCAAAGTTGCTACTTTGGAAAGATTAATTAGTGCAAGCAAATCTAACAATTCTAACCTAGCAATTGATTAAAGCAAATCATGAAATAATTCAAAGGAATAATAAACATTCAATAGATAATAATAAAGAGAAGAGAAATCTCACAATTCGTAGCCAAAAGCTTCAATCTTTAACCAAGAATCCGGAAGATTAAGCTTCCATGGATTCTAATTCAAAAACAAAGATTTCTGAAATTTGCCAAGAACCCTAGAAAACTTTTACTTCTCTCTAAATTAATTCTCCTAATTCTAACTTAAAACTTAATTAAAACTAAGCTATTTATATGTTTCTATATTTTAATAACATAACACAATAATAATAATAAAATAATATCCAAAACACGAGCCAAAACAAAGCCAAATTGCTGAAAATTAACCAAAACAGCCCGAATTTCTGCCAGAGCCGCTGCCAGCTGCTCTGGACCCGCTGGCAGCTGCTCTGGCAGCCCCTCACTCTGGTATACCCGCTGCCAGCGGCTCTGGCCAGCTGCCAGCGGCCCTGGCAGCGGTTCCTGCTGTTTTTGCCTTCTTTCCTTGCTTCTTCTTCTTGCTTTGCTTCACCTTTTCCTCAAGCTTTCTTCCTTGCTCTTCCATGCTCCATCACAACTCTCAAATCACGAGCCAAGGTCCATCCTTCTTACATAACTCTTCATTGGTTCCCGAGCTCACTCACTCACTTATACTCATAAATCCCGCCTTTTGCACATAAGTGAGATCACAGCCCAAAACTCACAAAAGCTAACAAAAGTACATATAAAGCATCAAAACACACCCTAAAATGCTTCTCTCAACCCATGATAAGAAGGCTTATCATAAGTATTCTATCTTCTCTAACTGATCAGTAAGAGTTTCCAGATAGGTTTGGTAAGGGGCTAGACTTTCACTCCTTACTTTCCACCTTTTAGATATTTGATTGCTGATTAATGAAGAGTCTCCGAATATCCTTAACTTTTTTACTCCCAATGCCAAAGCTGTTTCAAGGCCTACCACGCATGCTTCGTATTCAGCAGCGTTGTTGGTAACGTCGAAGTCAAGCTTTATGGATATTGTGACATGCTCTTCTTTAGGTGACACAAGTAATACTCCAACGCCACATCCCTTTTGGTTTGAGGCTCCGTTGAAGTACAAGGTCCAAGTATCATCTTCATTAACCATTAAGTCTTCATTTGGAAATTCATTGTCTTGTATTGGCGTCAAGTCTTCTATTGGAAAGTCTGCTAGAAAGTCTGACACCACAGATCCTTTGATAGCGTTTTGCGGCATAAGCCTTACGTCAAACTGGGCTAAATTGACTATCCATCTCGATATGCGTCCATTGAGTGTAGATTTCTCGAATAGATACTTGAGTGGATCTAATCGGGAGACTACGAAGACGGTATGCACTAGCATGTAATGTCTTAGCTTGGTTGTGGCCCACACCAAGGCGAGGCACAATTTCTCAAGTGGTGTGTAACGTGCTTCATATTCGAGCATTTACTTACTTAGATAGTGGATTGCGTTTTCTTTGCCTTCTACTTCTTGTGCTAGCATAGCTCCCATTGTCTCTTTGGTGACTGTCAAATACAACCTAAGAGGTATTCCGAGAAGTGCTGGTGCTAATACGAGAGGATTTGCGAGATAGGCTTTGATCTTTTCAAAGGCTTTTTGACACTCGTCATCCCATATCACTGGTAGATTCTTCTTGAGCTTTTTGAAGATTGGTTCACATATCGTCGTTAACTTTGATATGAACCTACTTATGTATTGCAATCGGCCAATAAATCCTCGAATCTGTTTTTTCGGTTTTGGGCGGTGGCATTGACATGATTGCTTTGATCTTGGTTAAGTCTATCTCTATTCCTCTAGAGCTTATGACATAACCCAAAAGCTTGCCTGAGGTGACTCCAAAAGCACACTTAGAGGGGTTCAACCTCATATTATATTTTCTTAGCCTCTCGAAGAATTTCCTTAAGGCTACTTGATGGCCTGGACGGTCTTTTGATTTTACAATCATGTTTTCGACATATACTTTGACCTCTTTATGCATTATGTCATGGAGTAAGGCAGTTGCTGCATGTTGGTAAGTAGCACCCGCGTTTTTCAACTCGAATGGCATTACCGTGTAGCAGTAAGTGCCCCATGGTGTTATAAAGGTTGTTTTCTCCATGTCTTCTTTTGCCATGAGAATCTGATTGTAACCTGCGTATCCGTCCATGAATGAGAGAAGCACTTGATTTGCTGTGTTATCTACCAGAATATCGATGTGTGGTAAAGGGAAGTCGTCCTTTGGACTTGCCTTATTTAGATCTCGATAGTCGACACACATTCTTACCTTTCCATCTTTTTTTGGAACTGGGACGACGTTGGCGACCCATTCGGGTTATTTAGATACCTTGATGAAACCTGCAGTTATTTGTTTTTGGACTTCTTCTTTTATTTTAAGAGCTACGTCGGGTTTCGTTCGACGTAACTTTTGTTTTACGGGTTTCATTCCTAGAATTAGTGGTATAGTGTGTTGAGCTATTTCTCTATTAATGCCTGGCATATCCTCGTGTGACCAAGCAAATACATCGATAAATTCTTTAAGTAAGTTAATTAAATCGGTTCTTTCTTATTCATTTAGTGTTAATCCGATTTTAACTTCTCTTTTATTGGTTGAATCATTTGAGATATCAACCGTCTCAGTTTCTTCAATTACCGGTGTTTTCTTTTCGAGTGTTTCCATTGCTTTAATATGTTCTTTGTCTTTTTCATTGTTAGTTAAGCAATGCTCGTCATCTTGGATTAGACAAGAACACTAGAAATAAGGAAAAGAAGAAATATTATTGTATTCTGAGATCATTAAATCAAAGAGTGATATGTCCTCAGGGACTTGATCACTAACTATTCTAGGAGAAGAAATAGAAGGGGAAGGTGCTACTACTAAAGACCTAGATGACTCTATAGGGATAGACTCCGACTCAGACTCTGACGACTTTTCAAACATTGGTCCTTGCCCTGTCGTGATAGATATCTTCCTTCCACTTGGAGTTGTCACCTTGACAGTCTTGCGCCACCCTTGTAGTGATCCTTCTATTGGAGTGATTAGTTTCGAGGGATCGAAGCTTTCACTTCGTAGGACTGTTTGAATGAGCGAGGAGTTATCCTCTTTGTAATTTGGCTCATTCTTTTCTCTCCCAAATAATAATCCCATGACGTTAAAGTCAAAGGACAGGGGTGCTTTCTCCTTATGGACAAGAGTTGGGATTTCATCTGTGAAATAACAATCCAAGAAAATCTCAAATCCCGGTTGCCTTATGTCGTTTACAACAAATGGCTCGGGAAATTCATGGCATGGATAGTCCTCTCCTTCTTTTATAAATTAACCATTAAGTGTAAGAGAGTATTGATCCATTGGGATTGCTTTCTTTTCAGTGTGAGCGTCTCTACGTGCCTTTGATTTTTCCTTGGCTCGCTTGAGATCTTTCCGAGTCGGTTCGAAACCAAGTCCGAAAGTGTCTAACTTAGGGAGGCCAGGTGACTCCAGCGATTTAATGAATGAAGCTTTAATATCTACTACTTGGAAAGTAGTAGCATGTTCTATTGCTCCCGCCGTTATATTCATGGTAATTTTACCAAGAGCTTGACGACGAGTGATGTCGTAGGCCCTTATTCCTTGTGTTGACGGAGTTAAATCTTCATCCCTTACGCCAGCATCCTCGCAGTTCTAAGTGGACAAACGTTGATGGCCGATCCATTGTCTACAAGAGCCATAGGGACGTTCATTCTCTTGCAAAGTACTGTGAGGTTTAATGCCTTGTAATGTTTGTCACCTTCTAGAGGTAAATCCTTGTCAGAAAAGGTGATCAAATTGATTGGACTTGGAAGATCACTCGTTAGGAAGTTAGCCAACCCCTCAGGAGTGGTTTCAGAATCTATCCCTATTTTGTCCAAGGCATTCATTACAGCCAACCTATGTTCTTGAGATGTCGCCAAAAGTTTCCATACGTTCAACTTTTGTTTTCTTAAATTGCTTGACGATATCATTGTCTTCAATGATAGGTATGGGAACTTGCGATGTGGTTGGCATGGGTTGTGTTGAAACAGGAGGTTTCATTCTCCCGGATCTTGTGAGGACGTCTATCGATGAATCTTCTTTAGCCCAAAAGTCATCCATGGCGTATGACACGGAAGGTGGAGATCCTA